CCCCTGAGGGTCCCGACCCCCAGTTTGAGAACCCCTGCTTTAAACAGTGCCTAAAACAACAGAGCCCCATTAAGATTTGGGGCTTCTAGATGCTACTGTAATACAAATTCTTATTAATAATAGATATAGATAGACTCCAAGTGAGTCACAGCCCTTTTCCATACTGTTCACTCTGGTAGAGATCCACATTCCCTTCAAATCTCCTGCTACTTCTTTGATTATGTCAAGTAAACATATGCCCGGTTCAAATGTTGAAACTAAACCAATGCTCCAAAGTCCAGCAATTCTTATTCTGGAATTCTTACTTAGTACAGTTATTTAACAACAAGAAATGCACCTTGCTACTAAAAAAATAAAAGCCAACTTATGCGTAATTGTTATTCTAATTACAAGTCCTGGAGCAGTTCTCATTTTTTCCCTCAGCATTATGATGAACCTCATTTCCTTACAAAGTCCAGGATAAACAATTCCAATATATTTTATTTTAATTATCAGTGTTTAATGAGCCATAATGAAACTATGTTGAGTGGCGCAGAAAAAAAATAATTTAAAGAACTGAGTGGCAGTAACTTGCTGTGCATATTTCACCTGTTGTGGCACAGAACTGTATTATCTAGTATTCAGCTATGCCATCACTTACCGTACTTATTAATTATATCTGCTCTTTAATAGAAAACTTTCTTCTTTCTGTCATCTGAATCAACAGGGGCCCCATAAAGATGTCCCAGAGGAACCAGGTGACTCTTTGATGTGTGCATTGAGGGATACTATTGAATTGAAAGTGATTGTGTTAGGGGGCCACATTCAGTATGTTTGTATGCTTATATCTCTTGGTGGCATTGGGCTAATGCATGGAGATCTGTATTGTGCTGGGTGCAGATACTGTCTTATCTCATGGGTTCCCAGGTTTTTAGTGCTAGCCTTATAGCTGGAAGAATTTTCTCACCACAAACAGCCTTTCCCTCATAAGAATGACACTCACAACAGTGACACAACAGCCCACTCATCCCTATCAATAAAAAAAGAAGAGGATATTACAGTGGAACCTCAGTTTTACAAACACCAGTCTTACAAACGGCCAGTTATAAGAATAACTTTTTTCCATCAGGAAAAAACCAAACACATAAGGCAGGTAGCGATGACAAAGAACAAGTCAACATCCCTTCACATTCCGATGCCTTTGGTGCATTGGAAAGCCCTTTGCAGTGGTTTGAAGGACAAGAAGAACGTAATGCAGTGCACCAGACTGCAACCTATGCACCAGACTTCCTGTAGTTTTGAGGTGTTAAATTTTATTAACTTTTTGATTTTATGAACTCCTCAATCCACTATTAGTTCATAAAATAGGGGTTCTACGGCAATAAAATCTAACTTGAAAAGAAATATCCTACCCCAAACCAAATTTTTATCCAAAAAGGGAGAAGACCCGGAGACTCCAAATGAAGGCTTTCGCTGTTGCTATTGTCTCTACGTGGAAGGCACCCAGATACTATGGTGATGGACAGTGCTATAAAACCTAAAAGAGAAAAAACACTTGAGCAACTTTAAGTTAACAGTGTTTTGTGTGTGGGAATATATATATTAGTAGTTATGGTAGATCAGTGTAGGATAGGGAGCTTATCCATCTTGGCAGCTATTGTCATGAGTTAACTTTACGTGGTGATGCAGCATTGGACCATCTTGTGGTGCTGGGGCACAGAAAGGGGAAGAGAACATTGGCAGGAGAAGAAATATACAGTATCTGAAAGGAGTTTGGATTCTCAAGCAGGCCCACAACCAGTCACATGAACATCTATGAGTCAGCAGCAAGGGTTTGAAACCGAGACCTCCAGCACCAAACCACAGACTTCACTTACTAAAGGAGTAACTCCCTTAGCTGGATACAATAGTAGGCAGTTATCCTCTTTGTCAGTGGTGTCCAACTTCCACTCCCTCCCAATTCCACTCCCATTTCTAGACCCATCTCCACAAACTCCCATTCTCCCTTCTCATCCCTCCTGAATTCAGTCACTGTCTTCCCCCCACTCACACACTGTAGGTGCCATGACAGGGAATAAAGTTCATTGGACCATTTTGTTGCCTTCAAAGGAGAAGGGGAACCAGTGGCAGAGATGCCAGTTCTTCCCCTCTCACCCTGGGAGGGTGGTGGACCCAGCAAGGGGAAAGACCTTTCTGAGAGAAGAGGGGAATTGGGATCTCCTCGCTGGTACATCTCTTCTTCCCCTGTCAAGGGCTCCTGCTTCTCCCCCCACTGTGGGAAGGCTGGGAGCCCTCAGAAGCTGCTACAAGGCACCGACATCTGCTGCCCCCACTGCAGATTCCCAAGCCTGGTGAGTTGGCAAACCCAGTGAGGAGGTGGAAGGAGGGAAAGCTCCAAGAGACTCCTGTTCTCTCCATCAGGGAGAGGTAGAGAAGCTCGCATCTTACTTTAACCCCTGTGTACATTGTCTCTGCTTGTAGTCCTATTAACAGTGTCATAACATATTTACCTATTGAATGTTATTCCAAGGGATCTCAAAGCACTTTCCAAACATTATATTATTTTATTTTATTAATTTGTATTTAACTAATAAAACAATGCCTATGGAAGATTTTAGCACCTTACCAAGTAATCATTATTTTGAATTATTTGTACTGTAGTGGGCTGCCATGGCCCAGGACCCCATTGTGTCAGGTGCTGTACAAACAGAACAAAAAGTCCCCATGCCAAAGAATTTGCAGCCTAAATAAGTAGTTCAGGAAAGTCCCAGCAGCATTGAAATTAACTTTTCAAACAGGAATGCAGTCAACTGCAAAAAAAGTTCCTTTTTGCCCCTTCATCATTCTGGGAAGCAATCCTCAGCCCTCTCCAAAATGCACATCAAACAGATGTCTTTTGCAGCAAAGGTGTCAGGAATCATTTCACCCAACACTGAAATGCAGCTACTTCTGGGGCCAAACAGGGTCACTTTAATAGTTTTCCAAGGATGGAGACCTAGGAATGTTAGTCTTTGGCTTTTGAGAGTGGCCTGGGAAAGGTGGTTCAGAGGAAGGTATAAAACACTCAAGGTCAAATTCACTCATAGTGTAACTACACATAGGGCCAGATTATCAGAGGTATTATTTTCAAAAGCATCTGAAGTGCCTAACTCCCATTGATTTCAATGAGTTAGGCAGCTCACCTTTGGAAATCTGGCTTTTACTGTCCTCAGTGGAATTACACAAGGGCTGAATTGGCCTTCTAATTATGTGTCACTGTACCATGGGAGCAGATACCTTCCTGACCCAAGGTGGGGATCAGTTTATGCTCTGAAGTGTATACACTTTATCGCCAGGCTCTACGGTTTAATGAGTAGCACATTGGCCTTCTAGATTTATGACAGAATAAATTATTCAATGGGTTTGAGTTTGAGCCACATTTGGGGGTTAGACTAGATGACCCTTGTAGTCTCTTTTAACTCTATGGCTCTAAAAAGCATTAATCTTTATAATTTGGATCTGTTAATATAATTGCAATAGCTTCATACAACTCTCTCTATTCATGGGAGTGTATAATATAGGAACACAACTGGGCTTTTTTGCCCTTAAGAACTTTATATGCCAACAAACTGAAACAGTCTTTCAAAAAGTGTAGCTTGGGACTCAAATTACTTGGGCATTGGCAAAAAAAGTGACTGGGGCTAATCCCAGTGGATCTGAGTTTGCTGATGGTACTCAGGCAAAAATCCTAGAAGGCTTTAGTGTGAGTTTTATTTGAATGACAACTACAGGATCAAGCGCATAGGGATAGATATTTTGGTTTGTTTTTTCAATTTTGCCATGGGAGTTTAGGGACTGATTCAGCACCCACTGAAGGCAATGGAAATGTGTCCGTTGTTTTCAATGAGCATTGGACCAGGCCTTAGAAGGGAAACTGACCAATGTAATAACATTGCAATAACATACATTGAAGACGTATTTCATAATTTTATTGGAAAATTAAATAACTCTATTACAGATTAATTAAAAATATTCCACACATTTATTTAATACAGTAAAAACAATATGGCAATTTGCTAATTACAGAAGTTGCTATTTACAGAAACAAAGATAGCTCCCTACAGTATAAATATTTTCTCCAGCTCTCTGCAGCCGCCATGTCTCCAGAAAGTTACTGTTGAACTTGAAGAAACTACAATATTTGTTTAGCAATGTGTTTTGCTATTTCTAATGTCTATCCTGCATCGTTAACCTTTATCACACACAGGTCCAGAGCATGTGACAAAGTGGAAAAAGGCATCAAGACATGGCAGGCATTTGCCACGTACGCACAGCAGAAAGAGCTGTTCCTGCAGCCTGGGCAGCATGGTCTCCCTCTCGCTTTAGAAAGAGTAGGGGGCAGGGGAGTGTAATGGCCCATGCTGGGCAACTGCCCATGCAGGAGATGGTGTGCCAGGCAGGTGTTGGATCAAGGCTGAGGAACAACTCTGCCACTATGTGCCCAGCACTGTTGGGGCCCCCTTGGTACTGGGGTGGGACCTGACCCTTAGGGCTGTAGGCCTGCAAATCTGGAGCCCATGCAAATAGAGCAATGCCATATTTGCATATTTGATAAATATGTATTCATTCATTTGCATAACATCTTTCTCTGTCCACCCCCATTCCAGGTTCCCTTGCCCCAGCTCCTCTCCTTCCCCTTCCCCCCCCGCCCCCTCCAGGTTCCAGCCCCCTCTCTGAATCCACCCACAGACATGCTTGACCATACAGCCCCTGCCTAAAGTGTAGTCCCCAGCTCCCACCTGATCTCCTGGGCTCGGGGAGGAATGTGCTCTTACTGTCCTGGAGGACTTTTGGGGGGTCTCTATAGTTTAGTGTCGTAGTGGCTAAGAACGACACTAACCATAGAGGAGCAGTCTACAGAGACCAGGTGCCTGGAAAGGGGCACTAGATGGATACGTAGATCGGGAGCGGGCCTGGCCTGGGAACCAGCTGCAGAGGATGCCCCCCCCACCCCCCTCCAAGCATGGAACAGAACCCTGAAGTCCTGACTCTCAGACTCCCCCCTCCCCCGTTCTAACTACTAGATCCTACTCCCCTCCCACAGCCAGGGATAGAATGCAGGAGTCCTGACTCCCTGCTCCAACAACTAGACTCTAACCAAACAGAGGTGTTTTCTAAAAATGGTTCTGCCTAAAATGCTCAGGATTTTATGTTATAGCCCTGCTTAAGCCAAGTTCTGCTCGGTCCCACTGGTTTGTATATACAGAAGCATCCCCCACACCTTCCCTGCATTGTCACCACAGGCCGGGCGGCATGGGACCCTTTGAAAAGTCAGCAAGTCTGTAGAGTTTGGTAGCATTCTCCTCTCTGCTGCAGTCCCATGGGTGGAGCCTGGAGGTGGAGCCATTTCAAAGCTGACTGCCTGGCTCCCCCCTTATCGGACATGTTATTAAACTGAACATTACAAGAGCTGTGCATAGGTGCTGGAACTAGGGGTGCTACCGCACCCCCCGGCTTGACGTAGAAATAACAACCCAAATACATGGTATCCGCCTTCAGCACCCTCACTATAAAAGTTGTTCCAGCACCACTGGGGCTGTGGAGAACGAATGCACCGAGTCCAGATGCAAGTCAGTTGCAGGCAGAAAGAGCTCTTGTTAGTGACAACCACAGCTCGTGGCCACCATGTCTTTATAATTCTTAAGGACAACATTCTCACTGTCGTCAAAGTACATAATGCTGATGGAACTCAGTTTGTCTGGGACACAGCACGGCGTGCTGACGTCTTTGGACAGTTTCAGCGTATGCACTATGGACTGGACGGTAGCATGGTTGGTCGCTCTTAGACTTTCCCCTAAGGGGAACAGGCAGGCCCCTTTGCAATAAAAAGCCTTGTAGCCACGTGGGGAAATGATCCACCCCGCCCAACCAATTTCATGGAAGTCGACGAAGAGATCATTGAGCTGGCATGGCACAATTTGGCCTTTGGGGGAGAAGAAGGAGGTATCCCGAATTCTTCTGCTTTTGTTCACTCTGATGTTTGCAAAGACCTCGTTTTGGTGAGGTAGGTGTGATGAAGTATCGTCTTCAGGCAAGGATGGCTGGAATTCTGAAAGCAAAAGGACATGACAGGGGTAAGTTCTTTGTCATGAAGAACACAGTATTTCTGTCTATACGGTGGGAGGAGTTTATTGCTCTCAAAGGAGACAGTCCCCATGAAACACGTAGATTTAAACAAAACTGGGTAACGACCATGACACTTATGCTTCATCTATACCATGAGTAAGGGTTGTGGTTGCTCTTGTCCGTATACACATAGGCTACACATAGCTTTCATTGAGCTAACACGAATACAAATAGCAGCGCAGCCACAATAGTGCAGGCAGTTGCAGTGGAGGCCCGGCTTCGCCATGTGCATGCTACCCATGGCTTAGTCATGTCTCCACTGTGCTATCCGTGCTTCCGTGGCTACACTGCTACTCAAAGATAGTGTGAGTATGTATACAAAGGCAGGGGGATCACATTCCCAGCTCGGAGTGTAGACATAGCCTTAGACAATGACAGTATTATAAATCTTAAATACTTATACATTAGGCTGCACTTCCCTCAGGACCAAATCCTGAAGTCTTCTTCGTAGAGTCCTAGATTCCAAGGCCAGAAGGTACATTGTGATCATCTAGTCTGATCTCCTGTGTAACACAGGCCAGAGAACTCCTCCAGAAGGATCCCTTTGGAACTACAGCCTAGCTTTAAAAAAAGTAAAAATCCAATATTGATTTAAAAATTGCCAGTGATGGAGAATTCACCATGACCCTTGGTACGTTGTTCCAATGATTCATTATCCTCATCCTGATCCTATGTTCAAAATGCACGCCTTATTTCCAGTCTGAATATGTATAGCTTCAACTTGGCATGCAAGACCCAAAAAGCAGTGAAAATACAAAGCAAAGGGTCAGGAAATCATGAAACAGTTGGAGACTGCACAGCTCCCTGCACTACGGAGCCAAATCTGGTTATGTCTCTGTATAATAAGGCGGAGGGGAAAGAAACGGAGAGAACCAGAGAAACATGGACTGCCCAGATTTATTGACCACAAATTGTAGATGGGGCAAAGGTTCCCTACGCTGAGAAGCAGGATTCTGTCTCCAAGCCACAACATAAAGTCCTTTTACTGGACAGGGAGCCAGAATTTCACTGTAAACTTGACACTAGGCAGGTCTGTTTCACTGTTTTTCTAGTCAGTTTCACTGTCTGGTTCTCATGAGCCAGCACAATGTTGTCTTGTTTGGGTCCTTTCTGATGTACAAATAAGGCTGGAAAGTTTATTTTTAAGTTTTATTTATTTGGACGTATCAGGACTGTAAAGACTAATCTCTCTTAGCTTTGGTAGAGGATCAGTGGGAGGTGTAAGGGATGTTTGTTGTAATTTAAGAGGTGAAGTATTGAACAGTCAACAAAGACTTCCCTTATTCAAAGTGTCAGTTAGTCATTGCAGTTAAATCAACGTTTTAGAATGCAAACCAAAAGCAAAAGCAAAAAAAGTTTTAAACTCCCCGACTAAAAACCCCTTCCTCTCTGGACAGCTGAGCTTCCATATTGTGATATCACCATTTGCATAAGCTCTCCAGTCATGTAGAATCTTCTAGCCTAGACAGGACCTGCAAGTCTAATGTAAATAAAGAAGAAGCAGAACCCTTCCTCCTTTTAAACAAACAAAACAAAACACCCTTTTGGCTTTTATTATGAGTCATAAAGAAGCAAAAGTAGATATAAACACAATATATTTTTCCTTGGCAGGTCACTTTCTTACCTAAATAAAATAACTAAAAGTTTTCTACTCCTTTTCCTTGCACAGTTAGACTTAAAATTGTAACTCAGCCTCTAAGGAAATCCTGGCCAGCCTCCTGAGTGAGGGACCAAGAAGCCTCCTTAATTTCTCCGAGGGCTTTTGCAGACCTCAGAAGGTCCACAGGAATGAAGGGGTTGCCTTCCTGATCTTCTGTTCCCCAAGCTTAGTGCTCACCGAGTCCCTCCTCTCTGTAGACCTCCTGAGATGATTTGTAGCTTGCAGCAATAGCATTCCCCTCTGAGGTACCCTAGGAGGTTTGTCAAGTAGAGAATACAGATACTGCATAACTCCATTTTCTAACTGCTTATGGCCCTGTCAGGATGTTAGATACATAAGAAGTGACAAATCATCACACTTAGTATTAAAGACATGATTGTGGGAAACAAAAGATAAAAACCAACATTCTCTCAAGCATGCTTTCAATAGTCTACAGGGAAAGAAGGATAGATGGTATGAACATCTCTCTACAGGGGCTGAGTTAAGGTGGCTTGAGTGCCTCATTTGAGAAGTGCAGTCTTACCTCTGCATTCCTGGATTCTCATTTTTGTGTGTGTTATTCTGTTTGTTGTTTACCTGCTTGAAAGGTAATATGCACTAAAGCCCAATATGAGCCTGCAACCTTAGCTTCATAGCCATCACATTTTTTGTGGGAGATAAATTGAATAAATAGGAAACCTTTGTAGTATAAATTCCAATTTTTTTCTTTAACTTACTAAAACGTTGCATGGTGGACACATGCGCACACACACACACAAACACACAATCTGAGTGACACTTCCAGCCTGTCTTCCCTTCTGGCCCTCTTCTCTCCCTTCCTCCAATGTATCTCCTTTTCCCTCCTTCTGCTTGCTACCCTCCCTAGCATTTTGTGCCTCTTCCCCAGCACTACCTTGCATCCCCATGAGGTCCTGAACTGCACATATTGGTGGAATTGACATTGCATGCTCAGAGGCTGGGAGTCACTGGTTCTACACCTTTGACTAGAATGGTGGGCATGAAGAGAAGACATACTTAGCCCGGGTCTGTAGACTGAAGATTACAAACTTTTGTTGGCATAGCATAGCTATGTTGGTCAGGGATGCGATGAGTTATGTTTTGGGACTGACATAGCTGTGCTGGTAAAAGCACCTAGTGTAGATGCAGTTATACCAGGCAAAACTGCACTTTTGTCAATATAACTTGTTTTGCTCACGGTGAGGCTCGAATAAGCTTCAGTTTTGCTGGTCTAAACTGCCTCCAAACTAGGAGTGCTTTGCCTGTATAAAACACTAGTATAACTATACTAGCAAAGCGCTCCTAATAAGACCTGGCCTAAAATGTCTGGTGACCCACTACAGGAGGGAGATAATAAAAGGATTATATCAAAGCAAGCTTTTGACAGTGGCAAACCAGAATCAGGTGTCAGAAACTGCATGTGACTAATGAAACTATCTGCAGAAAATGCATGAGGAAGTAACAGAACTAATTAAAGGGAGCGTCTGTTCAAAGAGTTACTGTTGCATTGTCTTACCAGTGGAAGAGGGCAGGAAGCTGGAAGATTTCTGTCTGTCATTATTGGTGAAGAGGACCAAGAAAGCATTCCTACTGTCTCGCATATTGTGCCGGCTCTTGGCAAACTTGACGAAGTTGGATTCCATTTTGGTTTTAGATAGATGAGTTGTAGTGATCAAAAAGCCATGGTTAGAGCTGCTGTTTCCAAACCATTTGGAAACCTCGGAACAAAAAAGAAAAGTGGAAAAGATCATTTGAATAAGTCTAAGTAATATTTATATGGGGGAAGAAGAAAGAGGCTAAAGGATTGTCAGGAGATATGTATATTATTATGAAGACAACAGTTGTGACTGCCTAGTTAAGGTTAAATTGAGTTTAGTACTTAAACCAGGGACTCACCATCTTTGTGTTGTATGAAGCATACAGTGTAACTTCCCCAAAACCACAGCCCTTGCCTTTAAATACAGAATTATTTTTTGGAGAATTTACTAATACATTGATTGATTAATCTATGAGTTAAAATTAATTTTAAAATTGATCCTTGCCAGGAATTTAGAATCCTTTTTCAGACCTCTCTTTTCCCAAGTAATCTTAATAATGGAATAATACAGACTCCAGACTTTCCATATTGTTAAATCTCACACGCAGGCTACATCTGAAGAAATTAGCAATCAAGCTAAGTTATTAACAATAGCTGAATCTGACTATTATGATTGTGGATTAGCAGGTAAGGCTAAGTCACTGGCTCAGGTCACTCTTGGCTGAAGCCATTGTAACATCAGAGGCAATTCAACCAGTCATCCACAGCATGCTTGTGAATCTGATCTTAAACATAGAATAAAATAATTAGATAAGGCTGATAGTACAGATTTTCAACTCATTACTGATATCAGATGGTTATTTTTGTTTTTTAAGTGAAATTCCCCACACCAAAAAAACAGGTTCAGATGGAGATAAGGTTGAGAGTACATATCAATAATGTAAGGGCATCTCCAAAACATGTATTACAAACCAAAGAGATTTAGAGTTAAGGTTACATTTATAAGGATCTAGAGATATTAAGGTATGGAAAATACAAAGCTAAAGCACTCAAATAATCTTAACTCTGCCCTACAGTGATGCCATGAGCATAAAAAGAAAATGAAAAACCAATTTCTCCGAAGAAATCAATGACATCTACCCTGGGACCGCAAACATTAAAATGCTTTAATCATAATTATGTAGTTATTGTATGATGTTACTATGAGCAGAATTAAGGTCATTTGGCTGTCGCAGGCCGTATGCTGATACCAGTTAATCAGCTCAGGTTATCGGACTTGTGGCTTTGGAGCTAGAGAATTTAAGGTTCTGTCTCTGCTAGTGCCCTGAAGTTTTGGTATCCAGCATGAAGTTCCTAGCCCATGGCCATGAATTTGTTACAATATCTTTAGCATAAAAAACAACGGAATTAAGAATTCTCTGCTTACTGTCTGCGTGACATTGAACACCTCCCAGCCTTCGGTATACAAAGACAGTAATCTGGATGAAATGAGATTTCTTCTCTGAGGCTTACTTCCCCTGTCCAAAAGCTCATACACATCCACCTTGAATATGGTAATACAACAAAACAAAATTAAATGGGGAACAATTGATGGTCTCCAGCAAAGAGGTCAGCATTAAAGAAACACATATCTTCCACTTCCAGCGTGGATTCACCCTGTCTGTTGACCTAGACTGAAACTAAAAAGTTGCTTCTGGTCAGCTTCCCATAAGGGCAGGAAGTAATGTAAATCTACTATACTTACAGATAGGTCTATCTAGATCCCTAACCATAGATAGATATATACCCCTAATCCTCAGTATTTTTTTAGGGGTAAGTAATAAATAAGAACCTGTATATCTGGTAATCATAATGAAACAAAAAACAAAACAAAAAAACAGTGAATATTCTCTCAGCACTTGGATATTATCTCATGTACTAAGAGCCACACAAAAAGAAATATCTGCAAATGGAAAAATAACCTGGCCATCTATTTTTTGTCTCTTTTGACTACTTGATATTGTCCCAAGTTTCCTGTTGTCCCCACATATTTGCCCATTGGGTTCGCAGGCCACCTGATTCCGTAGATATGGACTGGAGGGAGCTGCAGAATTTGGATCTGGAATGCAAATGTCTCAAAATCCGGGATAGCTTGGCTGTGGTTTGAGCTCACCTTCAGGGATCACTGAACTGTCCTGTTTGCTTTTGCACAGATAAACCAGTAGACTGTTTGGCCGCATGAATGTTTCATTGAAAAAAACTCAAAGGAAAAAAAGAAACAGCATAGCAACAAAACCAAAAACCTGGCTGTATTGCTTTGCTTGTTGAAGTCAAACTTCTAAATTGCTGGCAGTAATCACATAAAACACAGGATAGTTTCATGGGGTAGTTGGTTTCAGTCTCATTTTTTTCATGCTTGATTTTTTTAACTTTGTTAGCTTAAAGACACTGTCTGTTGATTAGTCATTTGTTATTATTGTTAATAATATAATCGCCCACTTACTTTGAGAAAATGTTGCCAAAAAGATTTTTGAGGCACATGGTTTTTATTTAGCTTGAAAACTCTGAGCTCAGCTTTTAGCATTTGTTCATTCCTCCCAACCGAAGAGATGTTGAAGTAGAAATAAGACTGATCAAAATAATCTGGAAAAAAACCAGGACTATTAATAACCAGTCCAACATGCAAGACACAGAAAGAATACTCTGATTTTCCAAGAAATGGCAATATGTCACCTGCAGTAACAGGAAGAACTATTCAAATGTGTGTGTTAAAATAGTGATAGACTTAAGACAATGAAGTGAAAATAGAATTAAAAATAGATCTTCACAGCAAACCAAAAGCATATAACCATGCAAGAGCCAGGCTGCTAATAAAATGGACCAAATTGAATTTTCTGTGCACAGGATATTTTAAAAGAATTTTTAAAAAATAATCAGACCTGTGTTTACTCTGAATTCGGGATGTCCCACCTCCCCCTGCATTCACTAAGTAGCAATGAGTTTGTATCAAAGGCTTCCATATAAAAGTTTAATCTACAGGGGTCATGTATACACAAAACACTTTACATCACCCAACACCCTTCCACATTCCTACACACGTACACACCAGCATACTCTTCATTCCCCCCTCCCCATATACAGCCCTGCTCTCCTCACAAACCCATTAGCTTCAGTGGAGTTACACCAGGGGTGAATTTGCCTCCCTAGCTTTGTCTTGTCCCACTTATCCTAACCCAGCCTCCTTCTCTGTGGCTTACCTCGGTCTTCAAGGCTCCGCACCACGTTGCCTTCCAGCAGCCCTGGGGCCTTCGTGATCCCGTTGGAATCTGCCACCTTATTGAAAAGATCTACCATAAATTGGGGTGGCTTCCTGTGAGGCAGGACATCATGGGGCAAGGCCTCAATGTCAAAGACCTCCTGCAGTCTCCGCATGGCTTCGGCAAGAATCCCTTTCCTCTGCGTCCGCACGGGCACCCTGGACAAGCGAGCGGGGTCACAGAGCAGCAGGAGCAGCAATGCGAGGCAGCGCCAGGCCTGGGATGCCGCCATGTCAACTGGATCCTCTTCGGCTGTTACAGGAGGAGAAGTGCAGCTGCAGCTCAGGTGTGCTCTGGTCTGGAGTCTTTGAGGAGTGCAGAGCTCCAGCAGGTACTTGTCACTGGCAGCCAAGCCTCCCAAATGGGCTGAGAAATCCACCCCACCAGCTCTATAAGGTTTTGCATGACAAATCTGAGCACCCACTTGGTGGTGGTGTGGTCATGGGCGGAGTTCCTGCAAGTGACAAAGTGGACAAGCAACACAACTAGCTGGCTAAACAGCCTGAATCAACACCTCTGACTTATTGCTTTATTCCAGGCCTTTGTCAGCATCCCTGCTGCAGCTAGCCACCCTCCAGTCACCAGAAGAGGGTGGGAAAGATGGACTTTTCTGTTCTTTCTAGGTCTAAGATACAGTCCCCCTTTTCAGTCCTTGGCCTTAAACCTGATAACTGTGCTAAGCATTCACTGCTTTCCCTAATCAAACACCCAATTGGATAGTGCTTTCCCTGGCCAGCTGGGTTGTAATGAGACCCACACCCTACCCCCATTATTGAAGCTTAAGGACTGTGAAAGTACACATACAGGGATTCAGTCTCAACTAGGGGAGTGTCATTTCCACTCTTGTAAGCATCAAAGAAGCCATTTGTTTGTAGTTCCCTGAATGTGCAATACCTTCAGTGACAGGAGAGATCAGTTTCTGTTCCTCCAGCTGCTTCTCTTCTTTGTCCTTCTGTACCCCTCATGCACTATTCGTTAGAGCAGGAAGGAAGGATAGACTTGTGGTTAAGGCACTGGAGTGGGGCTCAGGAGATCTACGGTCAGTTCCCAGCCTCAGAGAAGAAAAGGCAGAAGTTGGCTGTGTATGAACCACCCAGTGGTTTAAAGCAGTAGTTCTCAACCAGGAGTCCAGGGCCCACTGCGGGGTCGCGAGCTGGTTTCAGGGGGTCCGCCAAGCAGGGCCGGCATTAGACTTGCTGGGGCCCAGGGCAGAAAGATGAAGCCCTGCCGTATGGGACCCCTGCCACCTAGGGCTGACGCCAAAGCCTGAGCAACTTAGCTTTGTAGGGCCCCCTGTGGCGTTGGTCCCTGGGCAATTGCCCTGATTGCTACCGCCTAATGCTGGCCATGGCTTTTATATGCAGAAAAACAGTTGTGGCACTGCCAGGCCGTTGGGGGTGGGCCTCAGAAAGAAAAAGGTTGAGAATGCCTGGTTTAAAAGGCACACAAGGAGGGTGAACAGAAGCAGCAGCAAATTCCCTTCATTTTCATCTTGGCCTTATAAAATGCAATTCACAGAGGCAGGAATGGATGTGGCACTAAAATGCAGTATCGGACTGGAGTGAGAAATAAACCCAAATCTTAGGCCAGAGGCAGGTAACCTATGGCACACGTGCCAAAGGCAGCACACAAGCTGATTTTCAGTGGCACTCACACTGCCTGGGTCCTGCCCACCGGTCCAGGGGGCTCTGCATTTTAATTTAATTTTAAATGAAGCTTCTTAAACATTTTAAAAACCTTATTTACTTTACATACAACAATAGTTTGGTTATATATTATAGACTTATAGACAGAGACCTTCTAAAACCGTTAAAATGTATTACTGGCACACGAAACCTTAAATCAGAGTGAATAAATGAAGACTCGGCACACCACTTCTGAAAGGTTGCCGACCCCTGTCTTAGGCCAACTAAGCTGCCAGATCGCTCTACCCCAGGAGCCTAATCGTGTTATTGTTCCCTGATATCAGCCCTTCCTCACCAGGTGAAGGACAACTACCAGTTGAGTCCGGAAACAATTGAAAGAATCATTATGTGCATGTACAGTGCCTAGCACAATGGAGCTGGGGACTCAATGCTACCATAATACAAATAAATAAATAATAATACAGAAGAACAGCTGGATCTGAGCCAATCCCACTGGGCCAGGCACTCCCAGAATTTGAGCTTCATACATGCAAAATTTGGATCTGGAATTGACACTGTCCAGGTCTCTCTGCCTTTTGGGAAGAGCAAAGGAGCCCATTGCCCCTCTGTACCTCATGCTTAACATTTAATGGAAATGCAATTGAGCAACATGGCACGGAGAGTTTTGCTATTGTCCTTTCTGTTTCCCTTGTGCTGTTGTAAGTTTTAAAGACGCAGCATGACAACAGGAGCCTAGCAGCTTTGGCGGTCCTCAGCTCTGTAGGATCCCATGCAGGTGACATCCACCTCTCCCTGGCAGCTAAGCATGGTATTACATAAGAAGATGACCCCAGGTGGAACATGAGCAGCAGAAGCAGATGAACTAAGCAACGAAGGACCCTGGGGCAGATCCTCTGTCTCCATGCAGATGTCTCTTAGGCTTTGTCTACATGAACATGTAATTTAAATCAGTGTCTAAACCAATTTAGTTAAGCTGGTGTAGGCTCTAGTGTGGATGCTCTTATATTGGTTTAAGTGGCTTACTGTGAGAGCGCTAAAACCAATTTCTAATTGATTTATGTTAAACTGCAATAAGTCCTTCTTACATGGAAATAAGAGCATTCACACAGGGGTCTGCACCAGTTTAACTAAACCACACCTTGAGTCAAAGCAATGCAGTGTTCTCAAGTAGACGAGACCTCAGTAAATAAAACTGCATAGAACCAGCTGCTTGCAACCCATCCCCTCTCAGGAACTAGGTGAAATATCAGTGGAGTTGCATCTAATAGAACATTTGTAGTGTTTTCCAGGACATGTTGTGTAGTGGTGGCCAGAACTCGTGCATTCTCAGCTCTGCCCCTAGGACAAGTCACTTCATTGCTCTGCATATCATTGTTCCCCATCTGTAAAATGGATCTAATAATAATGAAACTGGGCCTCTCTTTGGTGCTTTCCATATGAGGGAATGAAAGGATTTTACAGAACTTGTTTCGTTTAGTGCCATGATCCATTTGTATCAAGTAACAAATCTGTTGCTCCCTGGGACTTCATGGTGGTCACTGTGCTGCACACTGCGGCCCCTTGTCACTTCAGGGTAACAACCAATAGAGATTTTCCTGCTCTAAAAGCACAAGCCACTACCACTCGGAGGAAGAGAATACCTACTAGCTGCTAGCAGAATAGGGCTTGTGATACACAACTGAGCACTTAGAAATCCATCCAGTAGAGGGCCGTGGTACACCTCCTCACTAGCCAGTTCCTTATAGTATTATCAGCCTCATTTTGCAGATGGGGAAACTGAGGCAAAGAAAGGCTGAATGATTTGCCGGGGTCACACAGGAAGTCTGCAGCACAGTCAGGCAAATGACCCAGATCTCTGGAGTCCTAATTATTAGCAGACTATCCTTCATACCTGGGCACAGCATGCTTATCGTATGGCTTAACACATTGCTTATAAAAACATTGGTGTGAAAACTAAGTGTGAAGTATAAATTATTTTGATTTTAAAATAAGGCAACTCTACAAACTGAGCATTTTACTAACGCACACTCTTATTAGAAAGATAGATAAATCTATTCAGAATTCAGGAATGTCACTGTGTGTGTCACATGAAGCCTAAAATGTCTGGTAAGTCAGTATAACACGATGGAAGCAACTGCAAGTGTGGCTGAGAGTTCTTTGTGTTCAGTATATCAGCAAGGTGAATCATTACTGGGTGTCATGGTCTGTTACCATTCAATTGTTAAGATCTGAGCCATTTTGACTTTATACATTCCACCTACATAGTGCACAGCTGCAGTAAGGTGTGACTCTATGCCATGCCAAGAGTCCTAGACCATTCTGATATCAGAGTTGACTCAACCAGTCATCACCCTTACTCTACAGCTAATTTGAATGCAAAGATTTCATTGGTTATTTGAGCGAGAGACTGCACAGATCATGAATTACTTGGCTCAATGGCCACACCCGTGCTCCCAATTGCCACCTGCACAAATCAACACAAATCTCCCAGCATAACCCCTATGACACAAACCAACACAATCCCCCACACAACAACACAGTCAGCACACGACCCCCAAACACACATTGCTGCAGCACACACCCTTTATTTGCCACCCACACAAATCATCACAATTGTCCCAGCACAATACACACAGTCACTCAACCTCACTCATATTTACCATAAAATCATAAACTTGAGTTGCAAAGCTGTGCGCCCGTTTATAGCAAATGGGTGTGCACTGGGAGCAGGGTTGCATTTGAGAAGGTTGCATATGAATCCATGCGCTTCAGAAACACTGTTCACTAATCCGTCACAGCTAATTGTCAGTCACATTAAAACAAAGCCAAGAAAAAGAAAATATTGATGATAACAACAACATCTCACAGTCGCATAGCACCACTCAGCCTGACAGTTCTCAGGGACGAGAAATCATACATGTACAACAGCACTGAAATGCAACCACTTCTGGGATGGAGTTTGGCAGCCAGACAGGGAACACCGCAGTGTATAACACTGGTGTAGATGGGAATGATCTTTTTGGCCAAAGTTGCAGAGGCAAATCCCTGCTTTTGTGAGAAGAGTCATGGGATCATTAATGTCTATGTTGAAAGGACAATCTAAAACCATGTGGTCTTAGGGGAGATCCTTCTTAGCATGGCATCACATGCTGTGTATCACTTAGCACATGCCAGTACAAAGCTAGCCCGTATTCATAGAATCATAGAAGATTAGGGTTGGAAAAGACCTCAGGAGGTCATCTAGTCCAACCCCCTGCTCAAAGCAGGACCAACACCAACTAAATCATCCCAGCCAGGGCTTTGTCAAGCCGGGCTTTAAAAGCCTCTAAGGATGGAGATTCCACCACCTCCCTAGGTAACCCATTCCAGTACTTCACCACCATCCTAGTGAAATAGTGTTTCCTAATATCCAACCTAGACCTCCCACACTGCAACTTGAGACCATTGCTCCTTGTTCTGTCATCTGCCACCACTGAGAACAGCCAAGCTCCATCCTCTTTGGAACCCCCCCTTCAGGTGGTTGAAAGCTGCTATCAACTCCCCCCACTCTTCTCTTCTGCAGACTAAACAAGCCCAGTTCCCTCAGCCTCTCCTCATAAACCATGTGCCACAGCCCCCTAATCATTTTTGTTGGCCTCCACTGAACTCTCTCCAATTTGTCCACATCCCTTCTGTAGTGGGGGGACCAAAATTGGACACAATACTCCAGATGTGGCCTCACCAGTGCCGAATAGAGGGGAATAATAATTTCCCTCGATCTACTAGCAATGCTCCTACTAATGCAGCCCAATATGCCATTTGCCTTTATGGCAACAAGGGAACACTGTTGACTCATATCCAGCTTCTCGTTCACAGTAATCCCCAGGTCCTTTTCCGCATAACTGCCACTTAGCCAGCCGCTCCCCAGCCTGTAGCAATGCCTGGGATTCTTCTGTCCTAAATGCAGGACTCTGCACTTGTCCTTGTTGAACCTCATCCAATTTCTTTTTGCCCAATCCTGTCACTTTTTGCCCAATCCCTACCTTCCAGGGTATCTACCTCTCCCCCCAGCTTAGTGTCATCCGCGAACTTGCTGAGGGTGCAATCCATCGCATCCTACAGATTATTAATGAAGATGTTGAACAAAACCAGTTCCAGGACTGACCCCTGGGATACTCCACTTGATACCGGCTGCCAACTAGACAACAAGCCATTTTTATCACATATTACTTACGTGTGGTGTGTCCTGCCCATGTTTCTAACCTCTCTTGGTCCTTTTGTACTATTTCTTCATCCTCAATATTGTTTGTAATTCCTCCTGATGTCGTATCACCTCTGAATTTCATTAATATGCTGCTTATTGTAATGAACCGCTTGTGATGGGTAAGGAGCGGTTGCATAGGTCTAAAAGATGCATCTGTGGGAAGAGAGCTTGCCTGTAAAATAACATCTGCTCACTGCAGTTAGGGTGATATGAGTTTTCACTAGGTGATATAAGTCAAGTACTTTGAGAGTCAGATGAAAGGTGCAATTTAAGTGCATAGTACTATCGCTGGGTGGGGGTATTTGCATAGGCATGGCAGGGGTGGAATCTGAGCAGGGAGCTCTATGGAGATTGCCTGCCTTTTTTGGTAATTGGAGGATTTTGAGGCCACAAACATGGCTAAAAGGAACTATACATTATGGATGGCTGTAAACCATGTAAATGCCTGGATCAGAATACCAGGAAACTTCAGAACACAAACCCAGCTCTGGCTCCAGATGTCACGGCTGACTGGCTCCCTTTTGGCTTTTGATCTGAACCGAATCCCAGGCTCTGAGCACCACTGAATATCGCAGGCTTTAGCATGTGGCTCCAGAGCCAAATTTTGCAGTGGGGGCTGGTGTAAGAGCTACCTATGCCCACTCTACAACCACTTGTGGGACTCCTCCTCCAGGGGAATTCCCAGCTGAAGAGATCAAGCTGCTTTCTATGCCATTGGCTGGACTGTAGCTCTGACCTCTTTGTTGTGAAGTTAGCCTTCAGAACAGAAACTGGATGCTACGTCTGTCCTTGTGATTTCACCAAATATTACTGGCTATTCTCTCCTCTTTC